AGAGCTTCATGGGATCCTGTGCCTGCTGGAAGTTGAGCAATAACTCTCCAAATGTTAATGCAAAGCTCTTAAGGGTGTGAGCTTGCCAAAAAACATACATCTGCAGCATGCGATTTCTTGAAATATGGCCAAATATGGAGATTTCATTTTTAGAATGGATGTGATTTGTTCTTGCTTCCTATAAAAATGTTTCAGACATCGTCATATTGAATCAAGTAGACTTCATTTAATGAGGTAATTATGTAAGAGTTTTTTTTAATGTTCATAAATGTCTGGCAGCCACTTATTATCATCTAAAAACTCCACTTGGTTGTCAGATTATTTGAACAAACTGTCAAACACATTATAACTCACAAGCATCTAATGCTAGTTTGGGAAATGAACTCATATTTTTTTAATAGACCTTCTACCAACTTTACAAAGGTAGCTTTCTACAAATTAAAAAAAAAGTTGTTACATGGTTATAAAACTTAAAATTTATAGAATTAATTTGGAATGGGAATCATGTTTCTATAAAACTTAAAATTTATAGAAGTGAAATTGAAATCATATTTCTATAAAAGTTAGAATTTATAGAAGTAAATTGGAATTGAAATTGTGTTTCTATAAAACAACATTTATAGAAGTAAATTGGAATTGGAATCATGTTTCTAGCCTAATATTTAATGGGACAATATGGAGGAAGACTGTCTCCAATGTGCTGATTACTTTTCGGGAGCGTATTCAGGATGAGGCCCACGGGCCTGCAGGCCAGGGATCTGAGCCTCACACAGCAGTCAGGGCAGGGAGCACACAGGCAATGCTGGTGGAACTAGAAAAGCACAAACCACGCAATAGAACTAGCTATGAAAGAGCGCACCATGCAATCATATTTATACTATAGAATTATTACAGAACTTATACTGCAGAATTAACACATTTCCTTATGGGTTCTGAGGACCAGTGGGGTGTCACTGACTGTGGCAACAGCAGAAACCCTCAGATTGAGGCCAAGTCAAAGCTTTGAGTGAGAATGAACGTAATCCACTAAACGGAAGGCTATTCTTTGGTTAAAAGTGTTGTAATTTGGGAGAATAATAAATTATACATATTCTATACTGTTCATATAACATATAATTAATATAATAATACTATAAGTAATATATATTATATATATGTATGTGTGTGTGCATTTAAAGTCAGCCTCTTGAATGCCCTCATATTGGAATTGCTTCTGTTTGTGTTTTTTTCTTTCAGATTATTTTTTCTTTATACATTAACTCCTCAAAATTTATTATATGAGAAAATGATGTAGTTAAGGGCCTTCTGAATAGGAAAAAAAGTGACATATTCTCATCTAATATACTAAAATGGAATATTGCAATAGGGATTTTGTAATCATTCATTATTACTTTTTTTTTTTCTGATTATTTCCAAAATTTCTAGCTTTATTTTTCTCTATCCATGGTCATTTTTGGAAGCTTAGCCTGCTCCATCTAGAATCAATCATAACTTAATAGTAATATGATTAGTTGAAAACTTTAACTTTGGTTCCCCGTCCCCACTTAACAGAGCCAAGTGTCTCCACATTCCCACCTCGGTGTAATGCACCCCGTGGTCCTTGTGTGGTCCCGCCGGTGACTCCACCACGATCCTGGGAACAGCCTCTCCTTCCCTATTTCCCTGTCTCTGCCCTTGCCATCCTGCTTCTCTCAGTCTTCAGATTCACTCAGTTCCCTTTTTCCTGCACCGTTAATGCTTCCTAAGGCCTCAGGGGCATTTTACTAGAGGATCGCTGAGCTCCTCCTCCTTGGGCTCCTTCCTGCAGTCACTGCCCCGTGCGCCTCCCAGGACGGAAATCTCCTGTGCTGTCGTGACCCAGGACCTGTCGTGTGCGGATTCACCCCTCCTCCCTCCCTCTACCGGCGTGATTAAGTCCTTTATAGAATAAGGACTTGGTTCTTGCCAGAGAGAACCACCCCAGTCAGCTCTGCCTGCAGAACGCTGCATTCTGGGATGTCCCGGGGGGAGGTGACTGTCACATGTGGAAATTGTGTTCTGTGGCCTTCTCTTCCCAAGGGCCATCGTCGGTTTGTTTAAAGATCTTCTGCCTCCATTGTGGCCCTTAGTAAAAGAAAATGGAATTGCATTTCTCCAGTGAGTTCGAAGTTCCCTCATGGAGCCAGGTTTATCAGATAAAACTGCATGGGTTAACAGCCTTCATCAACCACGATGTTTATATAAACAAACACGAGGTTTCTTCTGACTCTGCTATAATATCTTTGATATTTTATATCATGCTCCTCAAATTTTAAGAAGTTGACTTCATCCATCTTATTTTGCTTATGATAAGCTTTCAAATATCACATAAAATCCTCAAGAGACACGTTTCAGGAATTTTCGAGAATGATTTCTATAGATGCAGCATGTCCCTGGATAGAGCGCAGAAAGTGTCTCGTGTCTGGATCATCACACCATAAATTCTGTGCACTAATAAAATTTCTGAAGAAGCGCCACGGCAGTGCTGAGTTTCCAGGGTGCTGCTGGAGAGGCACGAACAGGCGCCACATGAACACGGCGGTGCTGAGTTTCCAGGGTGCTGCTGGAGAGGCACGAACAGGCGTCACGTGAACACGGCGGTGCTGAGTTTCCAGGGTGCTGCTG